AAGAGTCCATCATCATTCTTGAAGCGTTGCGTCACATGATCTTTGGATTTGGCGCGCTTTCTTTAGCATGCCCGGGTCTCACAATAACATCAATGTGCTGCAGCGATCACCATTGTGTGTTAGGCTGACTGAAGGAAAAGCTCATCCTTGCCAATATACTGTCAATGGACATGAGTACAACATGGGCTACTATGTGGTTGACGATATTTATCCTCCGTGGGCTACCTTTGTCAACACCATCTCTAACCTAGTTGGCTAGAAAAAGTCACTCTTTGTCCAAAGACAAGAAGCAACTAGAAAGGATGTCGAGAGGGCATTTAGAGTTCTGCAGGCTCGTTTTGCAGTTGTTCATGGACCTATTAAACAATGAGATCCGGAGACTTTGTGGGAGATGATGACATGTTGTGTGATCATGCATAATATGATCGTCGAGGATGAGGGTGAGGAATTGGGGATGCTGCCGCAACTCTATAACTTGAGAACATGGATGATCCTATCGAACTTTCAGACTAGAATCTGTCCACACTTGAAGAGTTTATTTAAATGCATCAACAAATTCCGCATCGAGCAACTCACGAGCAACTGAAGGAATATCTGATTGAGCATTTGTGGGCGGTCAAGGGGACAACAATATTGGAATGTAATGTTGGTTATTTTTTTTAAATGAACTACTACTGCATGCGGCTATTTGAACGTCTACACTATGTATGCACCTATTTGAACGTGTGTACTTTATGTATGCGGCTATTTGAACGTGCGAACTTTTTCGAAAGAAATTAGAGAGGCCGGATGTATGCGGATAGCGTTGGATGACGGTCTCCCGCCTGTACGGGGACGGATGCAGAATTTGAGGGTCGGCGTTGAAAAATACCGTTACATTATAGATCGACAAAATCGATTTGGACTCTCTCAAATTTTAGTACAGGCTTAGTTGAGCCTAGGTCTGCTTGCTCGAAATCAACTAATTTGCCCTGCTACCGGTATGCTGGTACGTATGAATTGTGTGCGACCTCAAATGGGCTCCCTCTAGCTCGACAAGTGTCACCCATATATAGCCAAAAAACCTGCATTAAAAAAAATGACACCGTATGCTAGGACGCATGAATAAACATTGCATCTGTCGAGCACCCCACACGCATACATGTGGGTGTGACCCCTCGAATTTTTCTAGATCTCATTATTGATTCCAGAAGAAAACGATGTGGACATGTACATTGTATACCTTTTCCGTAGAGAAATCGGTTATTGTCATTTTCTTGGAATAATTTGGCAGCTCATGCTAGATGTTCCACACATATGCTTTACATATATCAAGAAGTATCGATCATTGTAGTTTCTTATTGGGCTCATGGAGCAGGAGTACGAACATGTGAGGACTATGGAAGATCAGATGAGGCTACTGATTCCTGTGGGTCTCTACGTATAATAATACTCTCTGTGTGTCCAGGAGTTGTTCACAACGTTTTGGCCACCCATGCGCCACCCGATCTAGTCTGTGCACTGTACCCCAGCGCCCACCTGCAAACGAACAAACAAACAAACAATACAATCTCCAAGTTGATTAATTCCTACAAGCATCTCACAGCGCATCAGCTGGAAACTAAATTAATAAGGGGCCTTCCAGAAGTTCCAATACTTAGCATTATCTTGAACGATATATTCGCAAGTGCGCACGTCCTTAATATTTCTAGCTTCCACATAGCCAAAAACAATTCAAAAGTATTATACAGGCAGTGGACATGCTAATTAGTTAAAGAAATATATAACACTCCCTCCGTAAACTAATATTTCCGTCGTTTTTATTTACTTCGCATTTTAGCTTTGGTCAAAGTCAATTTTTTTAAACTTTAACAAAGTTTTCAAACAAAAATATAAACATATACAATAACAAATCAATAACATTATTCGCAAAAAAAAAACAAATCAATAACATTAAATTTATTATTGAATACACTTTCACATCATATAGATTTGCTATTGTAAATGTTCATACTTTTTTTTATAAACTTGGGCAAAGTTTATGAAGTTTGACTTCAATCAAACCTAATATGCAGAGTAAATAAAAACGAAGAAAGTATAAGAGCGTTTAGTTACATAGTAATTTAAATCAGCTCCAACCTAAAATTTTTTATGAAGTGCACGCTGGCAGTATATAATATTGGATCAAGCTAAGCATTTTGGGATCTCTAGGAATATTGTATAAGCAGGGTCAATTGCACCCACTGGCCCCTGCTCCGCATTTAATTTGGTAGCCATATCTCTTTCCACAAGTCGCACAATATGTTTAATCACGAACCTGTGGATGCAAAACCTGTGGGCGCAAATCCGGTTCGTGGCATGTGGCGCATGGCATCGTTGTTGAAATTCAAATGATGAGGCGATGCATGGATGGCATGCCTCCTTTTTAATCATGGGGCGCATGATGTGTGTGCATGGGAGCTTAGGCCCAGCGTTTTTGCGTAGAATATATTTTCCGTCCAGCTAGTCGAATTTGATGCTCTCGTTTCGGTACGATAGTCTGCACCTAGTCTTGTTTATATTGATTCAAGAACTCGACGAATTGCATGGCATGCACTCAAGTGGTACTTTTCAGTATGAGCTAGCCCCACGCCTAATTTCCTCAGATGTGAGATCCGTGGAAATCCTAGCATAGAAGCAGCATTCTCATGTTGATTTGGCGGTGAAACAGAAATTGGTGAAGATCTTCGTTACTTACATACTTTACCAGATGGTGAATACTTTGAAAACTTGATTCAGATTTCATATTAAAGAATTATATGCACGGATTTGCCTCAGAAGCATTTAGATAGTATTAATATCGCGGGCCATATATGTTGCGAAAGAAACTTACTTGACACCACTTTTTCCTAAGCAGCATAGTACCAAATTAGCCAAATTTATAACTCCATGTGTTAATTAGTGATACACTTGATAGTTGAGTGGCGGTCAAGATCGAAGAAGAAGACTGGCTTAAAATGTTTATTCGGAGGCGGCTACAAAAGCTTGACAGTTCATCCACTCTACGATCTAGGCGCACAGAGAAGAAAGCACATGCATCCTGCATGGGAGGATGGACAAACTTCTTTAACAAAGCTTACGCTAAATGTTAGGCTGCTATCATTACGTCCTAATGCAATCGGGCGTCGCCACGTATGGCGACAAACCTGCATCATGTACAGTAATCAAGCACGTAGAGTATCCCGTTTATAAGTCCTAAACCTACTCAACTGATGACCGCCTTGTTAAAGTAATCAACACGATCGATCAGCATGCTAACTGCTCCTCCTAGTACAGTGGCGTGGAGTATACTAATAATAATACTGCTAGCCGGTAGCTCCACATGGTCTGTACCTTTTCTCCCTATATTAACCAACTACTTAATCGTGGGATGCAGATGGGAATCTTGCACAGTGTCTCACACAAGTTTGACAAGACTGTTTGTGCTTATACTATATCACTAAGTGATGTTAAGGAAAGTACTCAATCTAGTCATCGTTTTACTTTTCAAGAGCAGTACAGTATAATTCACCACATAAACTTGGGAGATAAACAAACTTATCTCAGTGGACCTAAAGATACTACTACTACCATAGGAATTGACAAGAAGACGTGTTTGAATAGGAAACCATAATTTACCGGCGAAAAAGGATAATACCCCATAATTTTGGTACTACTAGTAGTACTCCTATTCAAGAGGTCACGCTTCGTGGTTCATGTTGATTTGATATTTACTCCAAAGTGGACAATCAAAGAAAAGAACTCTCATTTTAAGCCGACATACAAAAACTGCAAAATCGATCAACCAACTGTTGTTTATAAGAAAAGAAAGATCACCCGAATGTTGCGTAGATAGATTCCTAAAAAATGCCACAAATTTATTTGAAAATCCACGAAAGTCAATCAAACTCACCTCCAAAGGCCACGCATGGCCGCCCCCTTTCCGAAAAGGCAACGTCACTATCTCTAATCTACTCACCGAACCCCTAGAAAACTTTTTGCTAAACAAATCCTGCAGCATAAGCAAGTACCACATATAGAAAAGAAAAAAAAATATGGTGCGCACATGGCACATGGTCATGGTCATGGCAATCTTTTTAATCATCAGACACGCAAAAAAAGGAACATCACGGGAGGATTATTATTATTATTCTACCCATAAATCCAAAAGTCTACTGTAAGCTCGGGCGCCGGCCCCCCCGCGATGCGCAGCACGTGGTCTTCCCCCGCGACCCACGCGCAGGGGAATCCCACGGGCCCACAGCGTCAGCCACGGTCCGCTCCCCACCTAGTAATTCGGCTCGTGTGACCCAGCCGGGGCTGCACGTGTCGCCACTGCAGCCGCCGCCACGGCCGCTGTGCCCGCGACGGGCGGGTCACCGACGCGCGGGGCAGGGTCTGGGGTTTGACCCGGCTGTCAGTGGCAGTGGGCGGCGTGGGAGCCTCGCGAGGCGGGATGCGCTCGTGCCCGACCACGTGGGCGCGACCGGGCTGGGCCAGCGCGAGAGGAGAGGGCGCCCCGATCCGCTCACCGCGGTGGCCCACCGCCGTGCTCGCCACACCTTTCCTCTCGGTTGATTATCACTCGGTTTTGCTTGTTTATTTATCTATAGTTTGTTTATTTATTTAATTAATCAATCATCTGCCACCCGATCTAACCGCCTGGGCCGAAAATAAATAAGCGATTAGCGGCACCACAAGCGCACGCACACCGCCTAGAGGCCATGCTTGGCTAGGAGGAGTACTGGAGCAGTATACATACGAGAGAGAGAGAGGCAGGAAGGGAAAGGCAGAGCGGTCAAGGCTGGGAGAGGGAGAGGGAGAGCATCGTCGTCGTCATCATTCGTTCGTTCACAGAGGAGGAGTGGTGTTAGCAGTGAGAGAGTCAGAGGAGGGAGGAAGGAAGGTTCAGGGGAGGGGAGGGGAGGGGAGTGAGAAACGAAATCCATTTATTCCCCGTCTATCGGAGGCAAACCCGCGGCCTCCTTTCCCGAGCCGGCTGGATGGAGAGGGACTTCCTGGGCGCCATAGGCCACGAGCAGCTGCTGCAGCAGCAGCAGCGCCAGCGCGCCGCCGCCGCCGAGGACGACGCCACCAGAAAGGAGTCAGGTATACTACTACTGCCCTCCCCTTTCTTGATTTGGGCGAGTTCGGCGCAACGAATCTCGGGATTGACAGCGCAGGCGGCCATGCCCGTGCCCTCGCGCGCCCGTAGTTTTTCTTTCCCGCTCTCCCATCGTCGCGCCACCGCCACGAACGCCGTGTCTGCCCGCCTGATTCATCTGCTGGCGGTGGCGGGCGGGCGGGCTCAATTCCTTCTCGCCTTTCTTTCAGTTCCCTCCCCTCCCCATCTTCTTCTTTTGTTTTCGGGAAAGGGGAGCGCGTTAGGTATGGGCTGCCGAATTCCTTTCGGCGGCTCCCTTGCCGCGGATGGCGCCTCTGGGAAGCGACGCTTCTGGTTCCAGGGAGGGGGAGACACGCCAAATCTTTCCGGTAGCCGCGCATGTGGCTTTGCTGATTCCGATTAGCCTCCGTCTCGCTGCTGGGATGGGGATGTTTAACGGATCCGTGCCTGTCTCGCTTCTTGCGCGTCCGTCCTCCTATATGTACGCCGTCGTCCGAGTCTAACTGAGAATTGTCTCTGTGTCTGTGTCTGTATCTGCAATCCGCAGCTTACTTTGGGGGAGGAGGAGTGCCACCCATGGATTGGTCCTTCGCTGGCAGGGCCGGGGCCGCGCCGGCTGTCATGTCCTTCAGGTCGGCTGCGAGGGAGGAGCAGCAGGGCGAGCTCGCGTACCCCAAGCAGCAGGCCTCCCGCGTCCTGACGCCACAGGTAACTGGAGCTGCTGCTGCTCTCGATTTATGCACGGTTCATGTTTTGCCTGCCAGTTTTGCTAATTGTTGCGTGCTCGTTATGTTGTGCAGAGATCGTTTGGTGCTGAGACCCATGGCAGCGTGCAGTACGCCGCCGCCGCGCGTGCGGCTTACGGTGTGCAGCCTTCGCAGCAGCAGCATGCTCCTAATGGTGCTAGGGTGATTCCAATGTCGTCGCCGTTCAATCCCAACAATCCCATGTTCAGGGTTCAGAGTTCGCCTAACCTCCCGAATGGCGGTGCTGCTGGTAGCCCGTTTAAACAACCGCCTTTTGCCATGAACAATGCGGTGGCTGCTTCTACCGTTGGTGTCTATAAATCAAGGTAGATAATTTGCCCTGTTTGATTTGCAGAAAATACTGTCTGTAAAATCCAACTTCGAACTGAATTATTACTTGTCTTATTTGTGAAGGGACATGCCGAAGCCAAAGGCAGCGCAGTTAACTATCTTCTACGCTGGTTCTGTCAATGTATTCAACAACGTCTCAGCAGAAAAGGTACAGCACAATTTCTTCTTATTGGTAATGCATTTCCATGTCATTTAGGTTTGCTGGCTAAGCTGAATAATTGTTCCCGTTCATTACAGGCTCAGGAGCTTATGTTCTTGGCCAGCAGAGGATCTCTTCCAACTGCACCCACTACTGTTACTCGCAGCCCAGATGCAACCTTTTTCACTCCGGCTAAGCTTGCGGCACCTGAGGCTTCACCTGCAAAGCAGATGCTAGCTCAGATACCACAGCGTGTTTCACCTCCTTTGCCGGCCATTTCCAAGCCGATGTCCATCATGTCTCAAGCTGCATGTCTCCCCAAGAGCACATCTAGCTCCAACACCGATTCCGCAGTGCCAAAATCTTCAGGCCAGTTGGTTGTACCTCCCACTAGTCAGCCCTCGTCGTCGACTCATACTGCGACACTATCGTCCACCACTGCTGCAAGTATTATGCCAAGAGGTATGGATGCTTACGCGTGCATCTTGTGCTGTTTGATGTTGTTTAGTGGAGTATATCTGTTGAATTAATACGCTGGATGATGTATTGATGTCGTTATTTTTCGTTTCAGCTGTTCCTCAAGCTCGTAAGGCATCCCTTGCCCGATTCTTGGAGAAAAGGAAAGAAAGGTACTACAACCTTAGAATTCATTCTTTACTATCCGAGTGTTGCAGAACATTTATCAGTTAACTTAGCCACATAACATAGCCTGTATTTGTGATCATAGGCTGATATTCATCATGTCTTCGTGTTTTCTTTCAGAGTGACGACTACGGCGCCATATCCATCAGCCAAGAGCCCGATGGAGAGCACCGACACGGTCGGAAGCGCCAACGACAACAATAGCAAGTCCTCATCATGCACAGAGATCGCCTTCTCAAGCAACCATGAAGAGTCGCTGCGTCTAGGCCGGCCCAGGAACATCAGCTTTAGCGGGGAGTCCCCGAGTACAAAACTACACATCTGATCCGATATGATCTTCCGGTTGTCCATAGATTCAACCATGATGGCTGATGCAAAGCCGTAATAAGATTTTGCATCCAGGCAGGCAGGAGGAGGGAAGGGATATTGGGAAAGGCAGGCAGCATGATATATGTTATTGATGATGCTCTTATTCTTGTTTATGATGTGTTTTGTTTTGGTTAGTTCGCAACCTGTAATGCTGGTCTAGCTGGTGCAACACCCCACCTAACTAACAAGGGAGCTGTCGCTTGCAGACTCTTGATTGTTATTTTTTGTTTTGCCCCTGCGCCCATTGTATTGCAGAAAGAAACATGTTAATTTAGCAGTATGAAATTATAGGCTTACAAATTTCCACCGTCGGTTGCAAAGCCCTGTTGGTTCTTCTTGTTCTTCTGTTTTTACCAACTTTTACAGGAGCTTCATGATGTTGCATGCTTGAGCTCTTTCCGGGCGCTCTGGTCTAGTACATCACTGACCACAATTGTGCACAATAGCGCTTGGGTGAATATCTAGTTGTGGATCTGTCTAGGTCAGCACTGAATTCAGATAACCACCCTGGGCCAGCCACCACCGGCATCCCGAAGTTAGGTGGTTTTGCTTGAAACTGTGGATGCCAGATGGTACTCGAATGGATGTACTGTATGTTCTATCTTTCTTTATTTCCTTTTATTATTTTATTCTCCGTTGGTTGTTTTATTTCTGTAACCTCCCAGATACACCGAAAGCTTCATGGGCTTACTTTGACCGTACAGTACGTACATTTTGTTGGGAATTCCAAGAAAGATGCCCCCAAATTGCTTGTACTAACTAGTTTTTTTTTACAAGTAACTAGGGACTTTATTAAGGAGTGATAATCAACGGAATACAAATAATGTCTGGCAGTGTCCCTAGCCAAATATGACGACCTACGGGAAGCGTAGATGCAGCTTTTGTTAGCGCATGTGCTTCAAAATTATTCTCTCTATATTCAAACTTGAACTTGACGTAGTTGAACTCGCTTCTTCTGGCCGATATTTCATGCAAAATTGATGCATAATGGGTCGCTGCACCTGTATCAATCTTGCTCACCACTTCCAGGCAGTCAGAGGCTATAACCATGCGCGATAGATTTAGGTCCTGAGCCAGCGCCAAAGCCTCATTGCATGCCTATGCTTCTAGTCTTGTGGCTTCAACCAATCCATCAAATATTACCGCCGAGGCACCCAAGAATTGGCCTTCATTGTTCCTGCATATGGCAGCTGCTGCACCAAACTTGCCCTACCGTGAGATCCCACCATCCACATTGATTTTTGCTTCGTCGCCTTCGTCCCGTGCAGCCCTTGCCGGCGCCCGCGTCCCTGATCGTCCGCCTGCGCGCCAGGTCGAGCCTCCCCCCATGTGCGCGGGTACGCTGCTGCCGCAGCCGCTGCTCTACGGTGCCCCCCTCTCCGCCCACCGCTGCCAAGGCTTTCTCTAGTCGCCGCCGCACCGGCCTGACCCCGTTTTCCCCTGTGCCTCCTAGGCCGCCGGCGCCGTGGCCGCGCTCACCTCGCGCCCACTGTCGCCGCTCTCGCCAGCCCTCTCCGTCCCGCCTCCGGTCGCCCCAGCTACCACCCCTGCCGCCGCATCCGCCGCGGCCCGCTCCCTTCCATGGCCGGCGTCGTGCCCCGCCATGGCTGCCGGCAAGACAGCGGGCCCGGGTCCAGGCGACCGGGCGCCCGCAACCACGCCCGTTCGGGCGACAACCGTCGCCCCAGCGCCCAAAACCCGTTAAGGCCCCCCTGTGCCTATGACAGGGGGCCCCACGACCAGAATGTTTTGTTTTTTTTAAAGAAGAAAAATAAATAATAAATATAATAATTAAAATGTTAATTAATTAATTAAAGAATTAATTAACTTAATTAAATCAGATTAGATTAACCTAATCATTTAGTTAAAGCTAATTAGCCCTATCTAATTACTATGAGTCTATGACATGCGGGACCCAACGTCAGATTGACCCAGTCAACACCTGTTGACTGCTGACGTCAGCATGACATCATGTTGATGTCATAAATCCAAATTTCGAATTAAAATAATTAGATAAATGCTAAAAATGATTTAAATCTTTTAAAATCAATATAAAATAAACCGTAGCTCGGATGGAAAAACTTTGTACATGAAAGTTGCTCAGAACGACAAGACGAATCTGAATACGCAGCCTGTTCGTCCACCACACATCCCTAACCTATCGAACTCGCAACTTTCCTCCTCCGGTTCATTTGTCCGGAAACGCGAAGCACCGGGGATACTTTCCCGGATGTTTTCCCCCTTCGCCGGTACCACCTACTACCGCGATTGGGCACTCCTAGCATCACGCCTTGTCATGTCATGCATCATCATGCATTTGTTTGCATTGTATTTATTGTTTCTTCCCCCTCTTCTCTCCGATAGACTACGAGACCGACACTGTTGCTGTCCAGTTTGACTACGGAGTTGACAACCCCTCCTTCTTGCCAGAGCAACCAGGCAAGCCTCCCCTTTGATCACTAGATATCGCCTATTCTACCCTCTACTGCTTGCATTAGAGTAGTGTAGCATGTTACTGTTTCGATTAATCCTATTCTGTTGCATAGCCTGTCATTGTTGCTACATCTGTTGATACCTTACCCGCAATCCTAAATGCTTAGTATAGGATGCTAGTTTATCATCATTGGCCCTACATTCTTGTCAGTCTGCCTTGCTATACTATCGGGCCGTGATCACTCGGGAGGTGATCACGGGTATATACAATACATACCTACATACTATATAGATGGTGACTAAAGTCGGGTTAGCTCGTTGAGTACCCGCAAGTGATTCCGATGTGGGGGCTGGAAGGATAGGTGGCTCCATCTCGGTAGAGGTGGGCCTGGGTTCCCGACAACCCCCGACTGTTACTTTGTGGCGGAGCGACAGAGCAGGTTGAGACCACCTAGGCGAGAGGTGGGCCTGGCCCTGGCCGGCGTTCGCGGTTGCTTCATAATAACACGCTTAACGAGATCTTGGTATTTGATCTGAGTCTGGCCACTGGCCTATACGCACTAACCAACTACGCGGGAAAGATATGGGCACTCGACGTCGTGGTATCAGCCGAAGCCTTCGTGACGTCAGCGACTGAGCGGCGCGCGCCGGGTTGGACTGCGTTAACGCAACTTCCTTTGTAATGGAGGTTGCTAGATCTGCTTCCGGCCGCCCTCACAACATGCAGGTGTGCAATGTGCGATGGGCCCAGACCCCTGCGCCATAGGATTTATACCGGCGTGCTGACCTCTCTGTTGCGCTCCATGATTGGTCTTTTCTGGACGTCATTGACACATTTGGTAGCCCACATGAGGTTCAACTAGACCCGTGCAATGTAGTTTTAGTTTATTTGGTTGTGTGCTTTGCATCAAAATCTCAGCCCCGCGATGTTTAAAGCATCTCCGAGCCTAGCTGAGGAGAAACAGTCGAATTGAGCGTTTCCAGCGAGCCAGGCCCGAGCGATGCAATGAAGCGCACGTGGATGGCTCCTAGATGACACATGGTGCACGGGTGTAGCTAGTTGTACTTGGTTACGTTCTAATCAACCTCTTACTTCTTCGCTTAGTCCCTTTTAATGTACACAATGGTGCTTCGATTCAGGATAAGACAAAAAAGATGTGCGTCGACTATCTGATTCCATTTAGATGATTGGTTCGTAGTTTTGTTGATTGTATATGTTGAATTTTATGTCCATGTTTGGAGCCTTTTCAGACATCTCTCGGCAAATTCCTTGGACACTGTCAACGGGTTCATGTTGCAATGTACAATTTTTACACACCCTTCTTAATTAACTTCACCTAGTCCTTTCTAATCTATACAACTGTGCTTTGATTCGAGATAATTTGTGCACGGAAAAGATGCACATGTTCCGATTCTATTCAGTCGATTGGTTCGTAGTTTCGTTGACTGTAAGTGTTCAATTTTGTGTTCATGTTTGGAGCTATTTTGGACAAATTTTGTCAATTCATCGCACACGATCGACTGTTAGATATTTTTTTTGTCCAGTAGCTTCATCTTGCTGTTTCACACAACTTTCGTATTGTACATTTTCGGTTACGGCAATCATAGACACGCATCTCTCTATCATTATGTGTTGAGAAAATGGCTTCTATACCACTGAGACAAGCATCAATTGCTCATTTGCCATCGAACAAAGCTCTAGTGCTCATACACCAGTAACAAACGAATTCTAGTGCTCGTATACCACTGGCTGTTAGAACAACGTTACCTCACTGTTTTCATATGCCAAAATGACTTGTTTGCCCTCAGTGGCAAATAAGCGACAATGAGAGAACATATCTAGGAAAAAATTGACAGCATTTTTCCTGTAATTTGAGCATTTCAGCAAAACAACCGTGCACATATAACTGTTGGGGAACGTTGCAGAAAATTAAAATTTTTCCTACGGTTTCACCAAGATCCATCTATGAGTTCATCTAAGCAACGAGTCTAGGGAGAGAGTTTGCATCTACATACCACTTGTAGATCGCGTGCGGAAGCTTGCAAGGTGATGATGTAGTCGTACTCGACGTGATTCAAATCACCGATGACCTTAGCGCCGAACGGACGGCACCTCCGCGTTCAACACACGTACGGAACAGCCACGTCTCCTCCTTCTTGATCCAGCAAGGGAGGGAGGAGAGGTTGAGGGAGATGGCACCAGCAGCAGCACGACGGCGTGGTGTTGATGGAGCTGCAGTACTCCGGCAGAGCTTCGCTAAGCACTATGGAGTTGGAGGAGGTGTTGGGGAGGAAGAAGGAGGCAACCAAAGGCCAGGGCTCAAGGTGTGAAGTCCCTCCTCTCCCCCACTATATATAGGGGTGCCAAGGGGGGGTGGCCGGCCCTAGTAGATGAGATCTACTAGGGGGGCGGCGGCCTAGGGAGGTTTCCCTCCCCCCAAGGCACCTAGGGGTGCCTTCCACCACTAGGACTCCTCCTAGGGGGAAACCCTAGGCGCATGGGCCTTGTGGGGCTGGTGCCCT